GCTAGAGCTGTAAAAAGGGAGGGCTAAGGCTAGAAAAGCTTTTAGTCGCACTAGTATGGTGAGTGCCCGTCCCCGGTATCCACGGTCGCGAAGACCCACACCCACTTTTTAGCAAGGGGGGCCGACTCTGTCATAACAGGAAGCATCGCCTCGACGGTGCCGAGGGCGTTGTCGTTCGACTATATGAGAGGCGGTCCGGGTCATCCGGTCACCAACCTCCGATAATCCTTAGTTACACACCGCCAACCCAAGAGAAGTAGACCGGTCTCAACCCCCCCATATTCTCCGGTCCCCACCCTGACTGCATTGTCTTCCCTGGCCCCCGGTTTGCACGCGCTCGCGCAGGTGCGGATTGCCACGCAAATTAGCGCCGTAAACTTCTCTTGTCGACTGTAACTCTCAAAAGAAAAACTACTCTTGTCTAGGTGGCGTCGGGCCGGCATTGCGTTGGGTGTCGACTGAGTGTTAATAACTCTAACATCTCAGCTCAGAACCGTATATCACCAACGTGGAGACCTGTCGTCTAGACGTGTGGCTCCAAGTAAGTGAGACAATGCACCGCAGCGAGGAGTCCTCTCTCCTCGCGAGCCGTCCGAGGTATTCTGTCAAACGCACGTCGTACACATTACCTTCTCTTTGCGTCGGCGGGAACCGCCAAATAATATGGGCCTATAACACAGCGCCGCCAAACCAGACCAGGGGTCTCCTGTACTACAGGAGACTCTTTTCCGTCTTCACAAAAGCCCCACCCTTGTGGCCGATTTTCATTCGTCTATTGACATACCACACTGCAACCTCCAGAGACGAGGTCTCTTGGGAGGTGTCCAGCTGGAAGCCATATATGGGGGGGCGGGCAGTCGACCCAGACACCCCGGTTGGAAGGCGCAAATCCCTCGGGTATTTCCGTGCCGGCATGATCCTTTTTCCAGCCCCCAGTCGGGGTCACCGGCCGTCACCCCGTAATGCGTAATTTTTCTTTTTCTTTTTTTAAATACTTTTTTTTAATTTTCTATTCAATGTTACAAAACAAAAATGACCATGTTCAAGTCTTAAAGTCATCCTGAGGCCTTAGTTTTGGTTTCAAATTACACAACATCATGTATGTGTTGCTTCTTTGGGGCTTGTTTTCATAGACCTGGTTGCTTATTTCTCTCAAATCTGGCAGCAGAGTGGGCAGGGCGCAGTGTCTAATTGTAGCAGTAAGCTAACGAGTACTGATAAGCTTTATTTTGTTTTGATCCAATGCTGCACAACTGAACTGATCCAATGCTGCTGTGAAAAAAAGAAGCTATATCCATGTTGGATAGAATATCCAATTTAAATAAAAAAATAACCTTAAGGGACAACTTGAATGCTTTTTTTCTTTTTTTTCTCTTAATGCATTGCATAAAGATCGGATCGGGAAAAATCGGTATCGGCAAATTGTCAAAATCAAATGATCGGAATCGGATCGGGAGCGAAAAAAGGTGATCGGGACATCCCTAATCACGGTCATTGTCATCTGTGACCTAATGCTGGAAGATTTGGAGCTAAAAATAGCATTCAGTGGCAGGTTTCTAAATGTAGACCTCACATCTCTTTGACAGCCCTGAACCAAACGTGAGACATCTAGCACATGTTTTTTTTCTTTGTGCTGGCTTGATCTAATGCTAACTGATGTGGATCAGAGTGTCTGTCACCATCCGTCTCTCCTCAGAGTTTAAAGAGACAGGTAAGCCAGGCAGGCATCTACTGAGATAACTGTGCTCCACACATTGGGGCTGCTCCTCTAAACTATACCCCCAGGAGCAAGAGGGTAGTATATTTTTGTTTGAAGCCAAAAAATAGCCGGTGACATCTACTGGCTCCTTTTTGAAGTGAATTGCATGCCATTGCGTAGCTTTGAGTAAATCTTGGAAGACGCCCCCTCATTCTCTCTACTCATCCTCATTCCTCAAACAAAAATGTATTCTGGATGCACATTCAGTGCCGAAATGTTGAAACCACGGTGCATATGTTGCTCAAAATAGATATACTAAAAAAGCATTTATTGTAATAAGCATGTACAATGTTTTAGTTACAAAGTGAAGAATACAGGAGGAATACCTCATCAGGAGACTTTGTCTTGGCTTCCAAAATACACTAGGGGCACTTAAAGTGAGCTATTATAGAGGGTGGTGGAATAGAGGAGTAAACTGAATCAAAATGGTGGCGTGGTGACTGTACAGGTGTTGGAGGCTTCAGTGTTGAGAGAATTAGAACCCACATCATCTTTACAAAAGAAGTCCAACATAAACACAGCAGTTGAGAAGTTGAAGGAAAAAGTCAATTTGCAAACAATATAATTAGGGCTGTCAAACGATTACAATTTGCAATGAGATTAATCACAGCTTAAAAAGTAATTAATCATGATTAATCACCATTCGAACTATGTCCAAAATACGCCATTTCTTTATGTATATTGTTGTTGGAATGGAACGATAAATGAAAGAAGGCGGATATATCCATTTAACATACAGTAGCCTATGTATGTATGTCTATTATAACATTGTTCTGTGTGTCAAAATGAAAGACAGCCCACACACCTATCAATCATCAAACCGTGGGATCTTATTTCATTACGTGTTGATTTCTATCAACACGGGGGGGGGAGACCGACTCTGTCGTCCGGTGATCTAACCGCCTTCTGGAAAAGTTTCACAAGTACGTCGGTACGCAAATGCGCTTTGTTACACAAGTGATGGTACGCATTTCAGATTGTGGCCGCGCATGCGTACCTGCGTACCAGCACTGTTTGTTTTTCACACAAGTTTCAATCGGTTTCTCTCCTTCTCTGAAGAAAAGATCCCACCCAGAGCCAGTGTAGTATTGATGTCTGGTATTGTTTTAGCCTCATGTAGCTGTGCGAGCCTTGTGTTATTTATACACCAGAGAGATGCCAGTCACATGTTGTGTCTTCCTCCAGAAAGAACAGGAGCTGGTCGCGCTTTATCCCGGCTCTAACTAATGAAAGTGTTGAGCTCTTAGGCAAGGAGCATTCATCTGATCAGTGTCACATGATGCAGGAAGTGTGTCAGCATTTTAGTTCTAGTTCCTTCGCCTATAGGGAGGGGTGAACTCACTCTGCCTGCTAGTGAGGGATGAATTATGGAAGTCAGGAGCGATGTATACCGTACAGCTTTTCTTTCTTTCTGCTTTATGAGATGATCAAACAAATCATCTCACACACACACGTAACACTGCTGGGTGTGAGGAGAATATGGGAGTATAATTTCTTTCTCTGGGCAAACCGTAAGGATATGAGTGCTGTTGGAAAGACTGTCCCATCAGGAGTGAGTTATTCAGTCGTGTCTGATTTCCTTCAGGTTACCTGTCCTGCTGTCGCTTCCTGGATGACAACCAGATCGTCACCAGCTCTGGAGACACCACCTGGTGAGTTGTGTTACTGCAGCCTATGCAGCCTAAGACTACACCCCCACAAACTACCGCCCCAGAAATATCAACAGTCATCTTTATAACATTAAAGGAAACCCAAAAAATGTCACATTATATATTTCAAATGTTTTTAGTTGTAAATATGTTCTCCGGAAATAAGTTTAATTTTCTTATGTGTTTTTTTCCATATATTTCTTTTTTATTTTCTTCTATATTCTTGCACGTTCAGAAAATGATATTGTGACAGGGCATTTGGGAGAAAATAAAATGCAGTTAAAGTATTTTTCAAGAATTTGGGGGAAAACAAAAAATGTAAGGAAAAAATGGTAAAGAAAATGATAAACATCTATTTAAAATGTATAATTAGGGGATAACAAATCAAAAAGATGTGGCATGCATACATTGTTTGTCATGTTATCTTAATGGATGATCATTCCCATTTTTCATCAAATATATGAACTCTATTATTAATTCTTATTTTTATTTTTACATTCCAAATATATTTACATTACGAGATCCTTATTTTTAGAATTATAGAGATTCTTAGTCAGCTTCAAAGCCCCAGGTGTTGGGCCTGCCTCGACCAGACGGACGTCAGACAGCGTGATCGCGCTCACCCTCAAATATTCACCTCTTATATTCACAGCGTTGTTTTGCACTTTGCGACAGTTATCTTACACTGTTCTCTCTGCTCCCTCGCAGCGCTCTGTGGGACATCGAGACCGGTCAGCAGACGACCACATTCGCCGGTCACACCGGTGATGTCATGAGTCTCTCTCTGGCGCCCGACACCAGGCTGTTTGTGTCCGGAGCCTGCGATGCCTCGGCCAAGCTCTGGGACATCAGAGAAGGAATGTGCCGACAGACCTTCACTGGCCATGAATCGGACATCAACGCTATCTGCGTAAGGCCTCACACACACACACACACACACACACACACACACACACACACACACACACACACACACACACACACACACACACACACACACTCTCTTACATGTTATAAACTCATTGTATCAAGGTCTCGAGTCTCAAATAATTCAAGGCATCAATGCATTTGACTCGAACTGCTGCATATGTATGATTGAAAACGAAAGACCAGGAGTTCATGGTTTTGCACAAAGTCATTACTGTAATAGTAATCCCTACACCTGCTCTTTCAGAAACTCCCAGAAGCAATGAACATATTTAAGCTTTGGTAAACACAGTGCAGAAAAGGGTGTGGCAAGTTACTGTAACACCACCTAAGGACAACAACAAATGTACTCACAAATAACTCTTTTTGTGTAGTTCTTCCCCAACGGCAACGCCTTTGCCACGGGTTCAGACGACGCCACCTGCCGGCTGTTTGACCTGCGTGCCGACCAGGAGCTGATGGTTTACTCACACGACAACATCATCTGCGGCATCACCTCCGTGGCGTTCTCCAAGAGCGGCCGTCTACTGCTGGCCGGCTACGACGATTTCAACTGCAACGTCTGGGACACTTTGAAGGCCGACCGCGCAGGTGAGACACCAGGGCTCGACATTAAGGACTGCCCGATGGCCCGGGGCCATCTAGTATTTAGCTCGGGCAATGAAGCCTCACCTGCTGGTTGCCCGATCGGGCAATCTATTATGCCAGTATCATGCAGCTTGCGGATCCAGTAATGAGTGACCCGACAGTAAAACTAAACATATCTATAACTAGTTTAGGTAGTTTGAGAGTTAATTAAAATAGCTACGAGTGATATTCTAACCTAAGGTGTGTTTTGTCCGCTCACCGCTGCATGTGATCATGCAGAGCTGCGTGTCGACTCGTCAGCAGCAGCTGATCTCTCTCTCCCTTCAGATTAGACTTCACTCGCGTTTATGTCCATATTGATCAGATCCAGCTAGTTCTAGCTAATGATATGACTCCCTGCTTATTAAAAGACACCTAAACAATAAGTGTCGCTATGCAACCAGGTGAGGCCACAAAGTATAGCGCAGCATTATATATTTGTTTACATGCCCACCGGAACCCCGAGGCATTACCAACAGATCAACGCACAATCAACCCAGACAGGACATCTCTTTCTCCACATTAAGTGTTTGACATTAGAATTGACTATTCTTGTCTGTCACATACGCTTCTTGTCTGTCGCATAAGTGGCGCAATTGAAGCGGTATTGTGCTAAAGGGAAATTATTGTGACCGAAGAGATTTAGATTTGCCGGCCAACGGGAACTCTGACGTCGCCATTGTG